GTCCTGTTGTTGTTGTAGAGACGGGGTCTCACTCTGGCTCGTTTGGCTCAGGGGGGTCTTGGCTGGTCTCGAACCTCTGAGCACAGGTGATCCACCTGCCCTCAGCCTCCCATAGCGCTGGGACTACAGGCGTGCACCACCACGCCCAGCCCCCCTGCCGGTTTTAAAAGATGTTCTCTTACACTAATACAGACTGTGAATGTACTCAGTATCACCACAAATAACTAAGATGGTAAATTTTATGTTTACTTCAGCACAATAATTATTGAGAAAGAGTCTCACTATGTCGCCATGGCATCACAGGTGCCGAGCCCACAATAAATATGGTTTTTAGAGATGTAATATTCTTTTTTTTTTGTAGAGACAGAGTCCCACTTTACTGCCCTCAGTAGAGTACGTGGTGTCACACAGCTCACAGCAACTCCAACTCTTGGACTTAGGCGATTCTCTTGCCTCAGGCACCCGCCACAACACCCAGCTATTTTTTTGTTGCAGTTTGGCCGGGGCCAGGCCTGAACCCACCACCTTTGGTATATGGGGCTGGTGCCCTGACCACTGAACCACAGGTGCCACCCAGAAACGTAATATTCTTTATAGGAAATTTGAAAATAAAATGCAGAAAAGTAAGTTTTAAGAAGTCATTGGATGCAGAGCAATTGGTTTTTTCCTTTTTCACCATGCTCGCTCGGGTTTTTTTTTAATGCTCTCCACAGGGTTGGGGATAGGCTTTAACATTGGGAAATAAGATACTGTCTCATTTAGACACTGAGGAAATTTTTTTTTCTTCTTTTTTTTTTTTTTTTTGAGACAGAGCCTCACTTTGTCACTCTCTGTAGAGTGCCGTGGTGTTATAGTCACAGCAACCTCCAGCTCTTGGGCTTAGGCGATTCTCTTGCCTCAACCTCCAAAGTAGCTGGAACTGTAGGTGCCCGCCACAACGGTTGTAATTGGGCTGGGGCTGGGGCTGGGGCTGGTTTGAACCTGCCACTCTTGGTGTATGGGGCCAGTGCCCTACCCACTGAGGCACAGGAGCCCCGTAGGAAATTTTCTTTAATGTACGATTATTAATGTGGCTTACTTTACATCTTTTCAAGATCTTTTAAATCAATTTACTCTCTTTTTTAATATCCTACTATAGATGGCTCTGAAACAAGTAGTTTCTTTTCTTTTGAGACAGAGCCTCAAGCTGTCCCCCTGGGTAGAGGGCAGTCGCATCTAAGCTCACAGTAACCTCAATCTCCTGGGCTCAAGTGAGTCTCCTGCCTCAGCCTCCCAAGTAGCTGAGACCACAGGCGCCCTCCACAATGCCCGGATATTTTTTTTTTTGGTTGCAGCATCCTTGTTGTTTGGCAGGCACGGGATGGATTCGAACCCACCACCTTAGGTATATGTGGCTGGCACCTTAGCCACTTGAGCCACAGGCGCCAAGCCAACAAGTAGTTTCTTATAGGAATAAATAATTGTTTTGAGATCTTATTCCCTAAGGCAGAATTCCTGCTAGAATATTTGAATTGTCATGGATAGGAACCAAAAGATAGAAATTAAGTTCTATTTTATAGCTTCCTCTTAAAAGTATATGACCCATTTTGCATGTTTATAGTAGGAGATACAAACAATATGAATAAATTTAATAAAATATTAAGTACCAACTATTCTAGTAAAATTGTTCATTAAATCTGTTATCAAGTAGCAAAATCATCAGATTTCAGGCTGGGCACCGTGGTTCATGCCTGTAATCCTAGCACTCTGGGAGGTTGAGGGGGGCTGATCACTTGAGCTCATGAGTTCAAGACCAGTCTAAGCAAGAGCAAGACCTGGTCTCTAAAAAAGAAATAGCCTGGCATTGTGGTGGGAGCCTGTAGTCCCAGCTACTTGGGAGGATGAGGCAGAAGGATTTTTTGAGCCCAAGAGTTTGAGGTTGCTGTGAGCTGTACGCTGCCACGGCACTCTACTGAGGGTGACAAAGTGAAACTCTTAAAAAAAAGAAAAAGAGATTAGATTTGAAGTTTACATTCTTTTTTTCTAATGTACATCTCTGTAAGCAATACTTATGTCCAATCAATGGGTAAAGACTAGAGAAGGGACAGCAGGCAGTGCAAAGCTCTGATTACGCTTGTAACCTAAATCCATTTCCTACAATTTGTATCTTTAGGGTAAGAGAGAAGAGCTAAGCATCTCCTCCTACATAGGCCATTTTTCAGTATTACTCTCAATAGTACTTGCACATCAGTAATGTTCACTTTGATAATGGCCAATATATGCATGTAGATAATTAAACACAAAGAAAAATCATGTTCATAAGATTACAGGATCAATTAACAAAGATAGGCCAGAATTAACTATTTAGTTTACCTCTGTAGAGTTCCTATAAGGTTATGGCTATCAATTTTCCCTTGTCACTCAATTTGCTTATCTTTCATTAATATATTTTAACTTTTAGTTTCACAAACTAATAGTAATTTGGTAAAATAAAATTTTTAAAGCATCATATATTCAGTTATTGCCCTAAGTTTATTAAAATCCTAGAACATTTAAGCTTTCCATTAATAACATTTTATCTTTTCAAGCTAGAAATAACAAGAATGCAAAAGGCTCTAAGACATTAGGATCAATGCCTTATTATTATTTTTTTTTTTTT